ATCTGTTTGGGTGCATCTGTGTGGGTGCATCTGTGCGTGGTTACGGGAGGCGCACGTGTTTTTTTATCACTTTCAGTCGTGTTTATCACCGTGCTTGTGATGTCATCTTCCGGATGGCAGGGTGACGTCATCTCCTTCTCGCCCTGCATCACCCCATGGCTCCTGGGAGGATTGGAACACACTGTGGCCTTGAGAGCTTTGTGAGGTTGCCGGGTTCATGCTTTTCCCTGTCTGTCTGCCTGCTCTCTCCTCGTAAACAGCTCTACATCCAGCCCATGATGGGGGCCGGCCTGAATTACGAATGCTACCGATTCGGCATTTCACCTTCCACAAATGCGCTGGTGATTGGTGCGACTGTGATGGAGGGCTTCTACGTGATCTTCGACAGAGCTCGGAAGAGGGTGGGCTTTGCAGCCAGCCCCTGTGCAGGTAAGTGATGCTCGCGCTGGACGGGGATCCCCCGGCCAGAGTACTGGGCATCCGCTCATGAACTTGGAAGCAACTCTTGAGACTGGGTCAGTTGCCTTTGGATTCTTTCCCACAGGCCTGTCATCCATAGCCAGTCTCAGCAGTAAGACGCTCAGCAGGATGTGGAAAAGGGGAAGTGAGGCCGTCCTATAAAATGTTGAATCCCATGCTTGACACAAAACAGATGCGTGATTGACATTAGTATTATAGTTACGTCTCACATTAAATTTAGAATGGTATCTCACACCACAGAATAAAGATAGGGGACCTTGGGGAAAAATTACAGGTTTTTGACAGGAGAATTAAAGATTCATGGGTAAGCTGTGTATTTTTTTTTCCGTCAAAGCAATCTTCGTTGTGCAAAAAGAGGTAAATGCCTATCATTGCTATTTCTTGAAATCCTAAAATGAGGAGATCAAGGAGCGTGTTTTTCTCCTAGAACCCCCTGGAAGAGCTGGTTTGGGGGTGAGTCGGCAGTGTTGGTACTGTGAAGCTGAGCTTGAAGATTGGACCGGTGTTCAGGGAAACCACAGGCGAGAGGGCAGGAAAGGTGATGGGTGGGTAAGCCCCCCAGACTGGAAGATGTCTGGAGACGAGCAGTTGGCTGGGATGGGGTGTCCACCTAGAGCACGGCTTAGCGGGAGGGTCAGGTACTTGGCAGAAAAGGCCAGTCCTGGACATGGACATGAGCCAGGATTGCTGGGGACGCATGGAAAGTGCATGTGTGACCGGGCAGCAGGTGGGCGCTGCCAGGCTCCTGGGCGGGATTTCAGGACTGACCGGTCCTGGCACGTGGGGTTCAGAGTTGGCAGGTAACATGCCAACGAAGAGAAAAATTAAGCACCTGTGAGGCAGCGAGGACATGGGACAGGAGGAAATGAGCGGCTGTGGAGTGAGACTTGGGTCCCCACACAGTATGGGGAGGGAGGCGTGAATGTAATGAAACACTCGGGATAGTGACCCACGGGCAGGATGCTGGCTGTGCCGGTCACCCCGAAATTCACTGGGACCAAAAACCCACGGAGGAGTCTGGGGGAGAGCTATGGGGATGGGGAGGGGGTACAGGCAAAACGTCAGATGATCTCAGCTGATTTATTCCAAAGGGGGACATGTCAGCTCTTATTTACTATCTGACTCGCAGAGGTCAAGTCGGTGTCCTGGTGGATAAAGCGGGTCAGTCGTGCTGCCCATCCTTGTTTGGACACAGGGGCATTCCCAGCAGATGAAAGAGCAGTTTGGGGAGTGGGAGGAGAGGCACATCAGGGCAAAAACTTGCATCGGGAATATTAGTCCAGCTCAGTGGTGTGTAAACAAAACCCCCCAACGCCACGTACACACTTGATTACCGCAAATGCCTTCTTCAGCGTTCACACGGACGCTCTGACTCTGCCCTAGGGACTGGGCTCCGAATCCCCGGGACTTGTCATTTTGCCCTCTTCGTGGGCAGTGAATGTTTACCTCTCAGAGGGCATTAACTGTTTCTAGCCTGGGAGGTACCCCTGGGGGAGACCTTCCTCTGTGGCACCGCCTGGGACTTCACGATTGCAGAGGCTACCGGTCTCCCAGCTGTGAGTGTTTCACGTCTCATAACCCAGGGAACTAAGCACTAAAGCAATTTTCCCCACAATTTCTATTCTCTTGTTAAATACCATTAAAATAGAGGCTACTATGGCAACAGCCGTATCGTCCACTTTACTTAATACCGCAGAGCGCGTAATCACCGTGTCTCCTAAGTGAATTGCTGTTGGAAATAGTTTAATATTACGCGTCTGCAGGCAAAGCGGCACTCATTCCTGCCTTTCAACATGAATTCTTTGTTAGGTGTTATAGAAGTTTGGGTTTTGTTTTGTTTTTTTTTGGTTACTATTTTTAAAAAGGCGTATTTAAGGTTTGGTACTTAAGCATTTGATTTTCTCAGCAGTGGGAATATACACAGATAGGTCTCCTCTTCCACGCAAACTGTTTAGCCATTAAAGTAATTACTTCCCTAAAAGGCACAATTAGGAGCCAGACAGTGGTCTATAGCGCTGTAATAAATGGAAGAGGTACACTGCCTTTTTTTTTCCTCTTTAAAAGTGTTTATTTTTAATTTATCACATGCTTTAAATAACAAAATGATTTAAGTACTAGGAAATCATGTGCTCTGGGCACACTTACGGAACACCCAGATTTAATAAATGCTAACGTTTTGTCATATTTGCTTCAAAAATTTATCATAGAAACAAAATAAATGTAGCTTAAAGCCCCACTCCACGGCGCTCCCCAGAATGACCCTTTATCCTCAGACTGTGTAGATTCTTCTCTAATTACTACACACTTAAGATTTCACTACATAGTTATCAGTGCCTCGCATTAGCTGTCTCTTGCTTGGTAGCAGTTTAGCCCCACGGTTAGCCGCCCTGTCTGACCTGGCAGGTGCTGAGGGTCAGCAGTGGAGGAGCGGCTTAGCTGGGTGGTTCTGGGTCCTACTGGAAGCTCACTCATGGGGTCGGAGAGAGGAGCGCTCCTTTCCTCGCCATTGGGACCTCCCGCCAGGCTTCCCTGACCATCCTTAAGATGGGCACCCGGTCACCCCAGAGCAAGTGATTCCAGAAAGTAAAAGTGCCACAGAGTACCCCGGCTGGTCTTTTTACACCCAGTTTTGAAACTGACATGCGGTCATTTCTGTCCTATTCTGTTGGCTGCTCAGAACAGCCCCAGCCCAGCATGGGAGGGGATTACACAAAAGCAAATACCAGGGAGCCAGGATCATTGGAGTCCCCTTAGAAGCTGTCTGCCGGCTACCTATAAATAAGTACCATGTAACAAAATGTTGGTTGGTTGGTCGTGGGTTTGGGTATTTTCACATGTGCATGAATGCTCTGTAGTACCGTGCGTATCCTTCTTTAGCCTGCACGTTTATCCTTCTTTAGCACTACACATCTACTGGGTCTTCCCTGTTGATAGGAGTCCTAGGTCACTCATTTGACAGCTGTGTAGTATCCTATCGTATGAATATACCCAGATGATGTGCCCCGTTCTGGCCTGATTACCACTTGGAATGTTTCTGATATTTGCAGTTATAAAGAGTACTGCGGCGGACATCTTTCTGCATGCTATCGAGATCTTCTGAAAATGGAAGTTCTAGGGGGTTTGGTACTCGTCTGCAGTGCTACCGGCCACGTCAGATTTGCCTTCCAAGCAGCTGGACCATGAGAATTACATCAGACTGTGCCTTTGTTTTCTTTTGTTTTGTTTTTTGCCCCTCTGTGTGAAATAGTGTCACAGTTTGATTACTTCTAAGGTGATGCAACTTTTTTTTTTTTAAGATTTATTTGGGAGTGGGGGTAAGGGCAGAAGGAGAAGGAGAGGGAGAGGGAGAATCTCAAGCAGACTCCCCACTGAGTGCAGAGCCCGTCTCCTGGCTCGATCCCCAGACCCTGAGATCATGACCTGAGCTGAAACCAAGAGTCGGACACTCAACCAACTGAGCCATCCAGGTGTCCCGAGATGATGCAACTTTTGATATATTTATGGAGTGTCTGAGCTTTTTCTCTGATGGTGAATTTTTCTACCAATAGCTTATGCACATTTTTCTAGCTATCTTTTTAATTGATGTGTATGCATTCTTAATATCTGATCCATTCATTTGGGGGGCTTATGCATGGTGGATAAGATCTGCAAATCTCTCTGGATTTCTTCTACTTGTTTTTCTTATCTTTCTTTTACTTTTTTTAAATTTAGTGAGATGAGATGTACCAATGTCTTCCTGCCAATGTCTTCATGCCACCTACATGCCCCTCACCATCTAGATCTGATTTGCCATATATCAGTATGAATGTATATGTGTATATGTAGTTTTTGTTTGAGCCATTTTCAAATGGGTTGCATATATCATGATATTTTCCTCCTGAATATTTCACTCTATGATATTTCATCCATAAAGACCTCTTAAAAATAAGGGCCAGTTCATACATAAATGTAATACCATTATGACACCCCAAAATTAACAGTATTTACATTGTATTATGTAATATTTAGGCTGTATTCAGGTTTTCTCAGTTACCTCAAAAATGGTATCCTTGGGGCTCCTGGGTGGCTCAGTGGGTTAAAGCCTCTGCCTTCAGCTCAGGTCGTGATCCCAGGGTCCTGGGATCAAGCCCCACATTAGGCTCTCTGCTCAGCAGGGAGCCTGCTTCCCTTCCTCTCTCTCTGTCTGCCTCTCTGCCTACTTGTGAGCTCTGTCTGTCAAATAAATAAATAAAATCTTAAAAAAGAGAATATTAATTTAAAAAATGGTATCCTTGGCTATGATTTTTTTGTTTTTTGTTTTTTTCTTTTGATGGCCATTTGTTTTATAGAATATGTCATATTCAGATTGGTCTGGATTTTTCCCAATAGTAGCATTTAACATGTTCATTAACCTTACATTTCTGTAAACTTGAACTTAGGTCTAGAAGCTTGGATAGATTCAGGTTAAATTAATTTTGCAAGATACCTACTAAATTTGGGGCGCCTGGGTGGTTCAGTCGATTAAGCATCTGCCTTTGGCTCATGTCATGATCTCAGGGTCCTGGGATCGAGTTCCACATCAGGCTCTCTGCTCAGTGGGGAGCCTGCTTCTCCCTCTGTCTACTACTCCCCTTGCTTGTATGCTCTCCATCTGTATCAAATAAATAAAACTAACTCTTTAAAAAAAATAAAGATACCTACTAAATTGTAATAACCTCTTTGTCATATACCACAGTATGTGTCTGGATCTGTTACTTCTGAGCATTCTCTTCTATCCCACCAGTGTAGTTGCTGTCCCTGTGCTATAACACACCGTTTAATGTCTATAGTTACAATAAGACTTAATATCCAGCAAGGGCTCCGCTCTTCTCCTTATTCTCCTTCAGATGCTCTTGGCTACTTTTGTCCTTCTATTCAACTTGTCAAGATCTCAGAACTCTAACGGGGTTTTGATTGCAACTGCACTGGAT